ATGGCACATGATAGATCCTTATTTATTAACATGTTGACGTAACGATCTTTGAGAGTGGTCTGACCACTTGATTTCTTTGCATCATTTTGTGAATCTATGCTCATGATATCCTTTTGTATCATAGCTTCAAGTGAAGCAGGGTCGAGTGATCCAACCATGTCATGTCACATGATTCATTATCCGTGGTATCTCGATACATGTTGTTGACATGACATCATGAATTTGAAATCATCGTAACACACACACTACACAGTCAGATGTATTTCAAATTCAAATTTTCGCCCCATAACCTCTCCCACCCTTCAGTCCAGGTGGACCTACTTTTATCTGTCATCAAGTGATGACTTTTACTGTCACAACATTACCTGTGTCTTTTTGTGACTTTCGCTCGTGCACGATGGAGGAAGAGTCCTTGCAGACTATGTTTCGTCATGTCCTCATCACCCAGAACTTTATGCAGCAGCTGACAGCTGCCGAGGACTCCATCATAGAAGTGAGATGAACACGAAGTCCCACATGATGCTCTCCTTCATGGCATTCGCGCACAGATTCAGCAGATGAAAGTCCAGTTGAACTTTATCCTAGCAGTTCAACTCCTGGACGTATGCCGAAAAATTGAACGTTACTTGCGTCTCAATGGCCGCTTTCCACGGCTGGGACTGGACTTCCGTTGAGACTATCACATGCAGCCTTTCATCTGGCGCTCAATTTTTGACACTCCGTGCACCACTTTTTGTCACGATCTTTAACGCTCGTGGCCTACCCGTAGCCAGAGCGCGACCGACATATGACGCTATGCCCCCAGAGTCAAAATAGAGTTGTTGGTGAAAGGGTCTTGAAGGAGGCTGGCAGGTGAGGTCACACATCAATGCAGTGGTCAGCACAAAACATGGCAAATAAATAAAAGGAGTTAACTGAAGTTGTGTTGACGCTGGAGGTGCTTCAACTACGTACGTTTCGGGTCGTGTCCTACCTGGACAACGGAATGCTTCTCAGATGTGGCATGAGTCTTTTTAGCAAATTCCTGCAGACTGAGCTGAAGATCCACGAGTTTGAGCCGTACCCATACCTGCTGAAGTCACCTCATACTGAATGTGCTCTTTTCTATGTCTTGCACAACATGACTACTTGCGGAATGTGTTGGAACCCGCTTGGAGGAAGAAGTACAAAATCTCCTTGGAGGTACTGGAAAAGACTGGAGATGAGCTGAGCTGACCTTCCTGAAGAGAAGGCACATGCTTCTTAGTGACCGTGAATTGGCTATTCCAAGCCATCCCAAACATTTGGAAAAACTATTTGAGACGATGAAAATCAACAAAGGTTTGAAGCCAAGCAAGTGCCAGTCCATCAGCTTTTGGATGAACCTGATGAGACCGATGAGTTGGCCCCAGACAAGGCCAAAATCTATAGGTCTTGCATTGGCATTCTTCTTTACATTGCCAGCGACTTCGTCGAGTGGCAATATGCAATCAGAGGTCTTGCACAAACGATGTCAAAACCATTAGTGCAGGCCTTCCTTTGCCTGCGCCACCTTTGCCTGTACCTGTTGGGTTGCGTTGACCACTGCACGGTGATGACTTTCACCCCACCAAGGACTGTTGCACTACACCCTAATTGAGTATACCATGGAAGTTTATTCAGACTCAGACTGGGCAAGATACAGAAGTACTCGCAAAACCGTTTCTTCAGGCCCCATTTGCCTCTTTGGCAATTTGCTCTACTCCAGCTCGAGAACCCAGAAAACCATAGCACTTTCATCTGCCGAAGCAGAAATCTACGCAGGAGTTTCAGCATGTTGTGATGGAAAGTTGATGCAAGCTTGCATCCAATTTCTGCTTGAAGATGGTGTCAAGGTGGAGTTCACTTTGAACTGGGACAACTCTGCCGACAAGGCCTTCTTCTTCCGTTCAGGTGTTGGGCGGATTCGACATATTAGTGTCAGAATACTTTGGTTTCAACGTGAAGTCAAGCTTGGTTTAGTTAGCCCGGCAACAGTGTGTATACGTGATAACACTGCAGACCTCCGGACCAAAAGGCCCAACAGGGACAGAATGAGATGAACCTCTGCACAGGATGACTTGTCACAGTCTTCATATGTTGGGCAGGAAGCTGTAGAAAGGGTTCGCCAGTCAGATGGCATGTTAGAAAGCATCAAGCTGCTTAGACACAATGGAGTGAAAACTTCTGCCAAATCAATCATGAGAGTCCTGTTGCTTAGCGCCTTGGGTCTACCCTGCGAAGCGATGACGATGACTCCTGGGGATGGTGGCTGTGGCTCTTTCGCATCCTTTGCGATCTACATCACAGTCATTTGCCTGATTGCTGGTGTTTCGTTCTTCTTGGGGACGCAATATGATGTGATGATGAAAGGTAAATACAGAAGAATCATGGTTAACAAGAATTTGAATAAGGTCCTCAAACTTCTCAAGCGTGCAAATTCTGCCATGACTGGAGTGCATGAAAATTAAGACAGTGAAGAAGAGAGCGAAGAAGTTCCAAGCGAGACAAAGAGCGAGATCGAAGCGAAATACAAAAGTTCAGAGATGTGTGAAGTCTCTGATCCAGAACTTTGGATGCACTTCAACCATGGAGAAGATTCACCGGACTCCCCTGAAACTCGAATTTCTGAGAGTGAGTGAGATTGCCTTGCAAAATACCATGATGGAAACCAATGCTCTGCTTACAGCTCGTGAACACAGACTTGAAGCAGAGTGGGACGAGGCAGAGGCAAGGCATGACTTGAACTCCATACAGGAGATTGAAGGCTTGATAGCTGAAACCCGTGGCTTGCGCTACAACCTCTAAGCGCAATCAAAGCTCGAGCCTTGCAGAAAGTCTCCAAAGTGCCAGCCAATCGACTTTTGAGATGACTGTGAGCCGACGTTTTTTAGAAACTGAGGAAATTTGGTATGAACCAGCCCTGTTGCTTTGTGGCTTAGCTGATAGCCATTGGTTCATTTGTGCAGTTCAACGCTAACGTTTGAACCGAGGCGGGGTGAACAGAATTTACAGATATCTGCATCCTGTCCTCCATGTGTTATAGTTGCACAGATGTATACATGGTGATATCTCAGGCGTGTTTGCATCAAGGAAAATGTTCAATATTCCAGGAGTGGACACCAAACATGAGGCTCAACCAATCTGGGTTCATAGAAGACATGTTTCCATCTCTTTTCATGCTTCAATACTTTTGACAAAATTTGCAAAACAGTTTCTAAGGCAATGGTTACGCTTAGAGTCCAAGCCAATGGCCAAGAAGTGCGCACCGAGGTTGGAGTGCCTAACGCAGAAACAGCAAAAAAAATATTCACCCCGCTTCGCGTGGGGTGGCCGCCCACACCGCAGGTTTATTTCGGTCCGTGAGAGGGGCTAAGGGTGGTTTTCCCCCGTGGGGGCTCTTCAAGCTAAGAAGTTTCAATAAGAAATCCTTCCAAAACATTGTTTTTGACAGTGTTTTTCCAATGTTTCCAGTCAAACAGACGGTAATTTACACGTTTTTTGCCATAAAGGCAGTAAATCCTTCCAAAACATTGCTTTTGACAGTGTTTTTGTAATGTTTCCAGTCAAGCATACGGTAATTTACACGTTTTTTGCTATAACGTCAGTCCAAAACACTTGTTTTTGCAGTGTTTTCAATGCTCTGGCATCCAAAAACCCTGCAAAATCTTGCTATGTACAATGTTTTTTTCATTTTTGGCCGTTTTTCCATTGCCGGAAAGCTACCAAAATGACCCAAAATTCCATTTCAATACCCTCTTGCGCTCAGACACCCAAAAATCCTCGAAAAATGTCGAAAACACCACCGTATTCTGGTCTCGGTGCGAAACCGTTTTTGGGGTCTGGTCTCGGTGCGAAACCGTTTTTGGGCCCCCCCCCCCCCAGCTAAAGCTGATATAGCGACTGCTATATTAACAAATGTCATTGAGCATTTAGTGTTGCTGTTGCCCCCCAATAAGCACGCCTTCACCGCCAAAGCGGTGTGGGCGGATTTTTTTGCCTCTTGGTTAGCCAGGTATGGCCTGATTTATGTTTTCCTCCCAGATGACTCACTAAATTGGAAACTGAACAAATTAAACCAAGAACAGCTTCCACGTTAGCTAGCCGGAGAGTATCCACATCTCCCCACGCTCCTTCACACTACCCCATGCTACCCCAATCTACTCCATCACATCCATCTTCTCTAAAATGACAGTCGCTGACCCCTCTACGTTCCATATCCCGGGGGGGAAACCAAACATGAGGCTCAACCAATCTGGTACTCAAAGTGTTAAACCCTTATATACACGTTGGTCCAGGCCATTTTATAAAAAACATGTTGCCAGCTTCCAAGGAGTTTGTCTCTGCGCAATCCAAAATGGCAAACAGAGGGTCCATTGGCCCAATTTTGCATATGCTGGTTTCCAGCAGTTTGAAAAAAACATCCAAAAACATCAACAACCCAGCGGTGAGACATGTTTGTGACCTCAATGCTTTGCATTTTATAGATGGCATGCCTGAAAAATCCAATACTCCTGACAGGGTATATAGACCCCAGATCAAATTGTAGATTTTAGGAGGTCTGACCCTATGAATTATAGACATGTTGGGGGTCCAACCCCACATTACATTTGATATCTATAAAATGGCGAGTAGAACCCCCCCATAATAGCATATGTGTTTTTTGTGCAAAGAACATTTATCACATCGAAAGGACTGCGGACTAATCGATCATAGCGCACCATGGAAATAACGGACATGAAGGCTTTGTAACAGAAAACATTTGTCACCAAAACTGAATATCATGGACGCATGATCCTCCATGTTCATGTGCGACCAAAATCACGACAAACCAGAGAACACCACAATGAACTCACATACTTGCAGACAACCAGGGAAGACGACGGCAACCAACCATACTAGTTCAATTGATGAAAACAAAAAAATGAAAACATATATTGTCATCAGCATGGGTTGGGCATGGTTTGAACAAAATTGACCTCTTGTTCAAGGCAAGAATTCACGTTAGTGGGAGCGGGCTTCGTAGAGATCTAGTCCCGCATTAGTTGGCACCCGTGTTGTGCCATCGGGTTGACAGAGGCAACATATCTGGGTGTTTTTTTTGCAACAGTGTGAAAATGTGTGAAGATGGTTCGGACCGGACGACTTCTCGACTTTCATTTTTTGTTTCAATTTGTCAATTTGTTCAGAAGGTGGAGCACCTCTGGATGGTCATGGTGCCCTGGAAGATGTTGCAGAGCTGTTGAAACTTTTGCCCATGTGTCATGTGACCGCAATATTCGTCCGTTTTCAGCAATTTTGTTGCGGTGAGGATCGGAGTGTGCTGGCCACACGGCTCCACGGAAGAGGGTTTCAGGCTGGCAGTTGGCAATTCCAGAGACCAACAGTCATTACGTTTTTTTTTTTGAAATATTCAATGCGCAACGTTGCCCCAGGTGGTCGAGCCATTGAAATGCGCTGGTCATGCATCCATCTTCCGCGTCCGTGATGAACCAAAAAGAGCGACCATTGAACATGAACAAACATTTATGTTTTATAATTTATAATCCAATTTTGTTATATCAGTTGCTGCTGCTGAACGATTTTGAGGTGAAAGCGAGGAATGTGACACCGAACCCTCTGTTGCCAAGGCACATCTATCCGTGACGGATTCAATTCAAGAATCTTCAGATTCAACAAATGTTCTGATCCAACCAGGTAGTATGCCTTAGCGGTTTGGATGTGCCTGGTCAACGCGCGGCACAACAAGAGGCCGAACGTTGCGGGAGGGTGGTTCAATCGACAACAATTTTTTGAAGGATCCAACATGGATCCATCTGTTTATTTTGTTTTTGCAATGGATTGTAACATATTGTAACAATGCTAGTGCTACTTGTTTATGCATGATGTTTCTAGGATTGTCAAGTGTTGAATGCTGAGGTCAGCCTTCTGAAAGGGTTGTCGGTGGGTTCCTTAGGTTTTGGTGTTGAATTCGCAAAAGCAGACGCAGCGTTGGAATTTTCTCTTGCTTAGGCCCATCCAAACCTCATTGCCTACAAGCAAAGCTTTCTGGAAGATGGCGGTCTTTTGTTCATCATCATGACCCTGGCAGAGGTTTCTCAGAGATTCTCATGTTTTTTCATTTCTGATTGATGTTTTTTTTTTGTGAGTGTGTGTGTGTATTACTTTGTGTGCTTGCTTCAGACTCGCTGGCATGCCGGCCGTCACATTTAGTATGCCATTGACGGCATGCCGACATTGTTCCCTTTCAGGATGGGGACCTTTGTCGAGTAGTCGGAGAGGCACAAGTAGCTCGCCGGGTTTTGCCCGAAACTGCAGCCAGAACCACAGATCTTCCAGTTTCTGCGAGGTTGATGTGGCAAGCCATGGCAAGCCATGGCAAGCCTCTGAGTTGGTCGTGGAGTGTGGCATTTCATTGCTGAGGTACTGACCTGGTTGCGCCAGACCCTTCTTGGCGAGCAACTCAGAGAATCATACCTTAGTGTTTTAGTGTCAATTGGTGAACACAAAAAGAAGAGACTATGAATCATAGACTATGAAGTTTTTCTTCCAATCCAAATCGCATCACTAGTGGAATTCGTTTTCTGGTTGCTGGATGTTGCTGGTGAAACCAGTGAGTGTAAGACTGCGTAACATTTGTGGGCCCTGTAGGGCCTCAGTGCGGTAGATTCACTATCAAAGTCTGAACCGGGCTGAACCACACACCACTGGCTGCAGAATATGAAAAATTGATCAAACATGATAATTTTGTAAGTATATTGTATGATATTATATGATATTTGAAACAGTTGGAAACAACTTGAACCAACTTTCATTATTTTCCATGTTGAGTTTCGATGTTTCGATGTTTCTTCAACATTCTAGGTTTTGTTTTCATTGCGCTAGGCCTGGAGCACCTGCACAACCAGGGAGTTGTTCGAAACCCAAATTGGATCGTCCATTAGAGCCCAACTTTTTGCCCTGTATCAAACGCTGAAAACTCTCATTTTTTCTCATTTTCTCAAGCTGCAAACTGTTAGATGTGGAATTTGCTGTGGAATTGCTGTGGAATGCAACGTGGAATCCTGTTTTTAAAGAAACATTATCTGAAACGATGTGATTTTCGCTGCAACACGGGTATCCGAATCGGAGGTTCATCGAGATCTAAAGAGTGTGGATCTGAAATGAAACGAAGAAACAACCGCTTTTCAAGCCGCGTTGCAAAATTTGAAAAACATGAACACATATTTCAAACGTATACATGTATCCCTATATAATGTATACATATACACAAAATACAATTATATGTATCCATATACGTCCTTTGATAATATAATTATTTTGATGAATTGAATATTTGAATTATATTTGATGCTTGTCAAGATTGTATTGCCATAGCCATCTAATCTATTCCATTTTATTCCCATTTACCATATACAATCGTATTCATCGTATACATACTTGCTTTTGTTGCTGGAGTCCTTGAAGTTGGAAACCATGCCCGAAAAAAGAGGTTCAAACATCTTCCTATGCGATGGCCGGCGACGGATCCGCATTGGTGACTTTGGTGCGCTGCATTGCGGGTTGATACAATTTTCATTTTGACGCATTTTGGAACTAGATCTCGATGTGTACCAGTACTGTGGTGCAGGTATATCCACTGTGCTGCAGAGTACAGCATTTGCCTCCTCGTGTGTTCGCCGACTCAGCGATCCAGAGCTGTCCAGTTTCACACTTTCGAAGCCCGCAAAGTGTGTACATTCACAAGTAGGTGTGCAGTCTCAGTCTTACTTCACAAGAAAAGCAAAATCTACGAGATCGTAACGCTGAAGTTTCGAGAATCAAATTGCAATCTTTCAAGTGCACGGCTGTTATGGCAGTTTTGTGTATACAGCGGCAAACGAAGCCCCTAATAATTTCAGAAGCAGTGTTCTCACACATATTGTCATTGGTGGCTACTATTGTTTACTTTTCTTGTGTTCAAATTTCAAATCGTCTCCGTTCGAAGCAGTTGCCGTTTGAAACTGTTCGAAACCATTGAGAAGTGCTGAGAAGAAACCAGTCATGTGCAGGTTGGCACCCCAGCCTACATGTCGCCTGAGCTCATGAGGTGATTGAACACAGCACTGCATCGCATGAGCTGCGTATGTATGGAACGAGATGAGCACAAATGCAGCTTCAAAGGAAGCAATGTAAGGAGTTGAGGATTATATTGACCATATATAGATGATATGACTTGAAATGGTTTTGGAACTTCAATTTCTTGAAATTTCAGTTTGCTGGAGGAACGAGCGGTATGACTTTCACGTGGACATGTGGGCCCTTGGGTGCATATGCTTTGAGTCTTGATCTCAGTTAAGTTAGTGCGGACTGCTTGTACAGTTCCCTCCATGGATGTGCATAGCAATGTGTGCGTCAGTGCGGAATTGTCCATGGTGCTATTAATACATATACATATACGTATACAAGTTATGACTGTGACCATGAGCGTTAGCATGATGGTGAAGATGGCAAACTGCATGCGGCCATTGTCCCTTGGCTTCTGTCATTCTTCGTCGAGTGCAACCAGTATGGTGTGGTGTTTTCCAGAAAATTGTATGTATATATATATATATATATCTATTGTCAATGTAAGTCTCACGCATCCATTCATGTGAGCACAGCATCTGATCAGGGCGTCCGATCGCTCATCCTTTGGGCACAAACCGCCCTCTTTCTGGCAGGGCCCTTGAGCCTGCCATAGGCGACTCAGCGGCGTGACCGCATCGCATGGGACGAAAAGAACGAGAACTACCAGGCGTGACTTCGTGTGCAACCTGCAATTGATATTGGTAGCGGAGCCCGTGAAGGCGTGAAGGGCTGGGCTGCTACCATGGTGAAGGGAGGTACATGTTCTGGAGGGCACCAACAACCTGCTGGACAAGGACCTGGCAATCCTCCTGCAGTTCCTGACGTGCCAAACGTTGCTAAAACTTCCGGAGGTACCTTCAGGGGATTAGACTCTGGATTGGCTAAGGCCGCACCGAGTGCCCAAGGCTCGATCTCTTCAGCCGACAATGCCTGCGACGAGGACGAGAAGTGGCAGTAGAAGGAGCTCTACTGGTGATGTCGCAGTTGCAGGACTCAGCATGGGATGCGACAGAGGGGATAGACTACGACGACGTGGAGTTGGCGGAGAACCCCTTTGACGTCATCCGGCAGACCTTGGACCTGCTGTACCAGCACGAGGACGAGGTGGAGCTGCCAGAGAGGTGCCAGGAGTTCTTCGAGCAGTTCAAGAGAGAGAAAGGGGAAGAACTCCAGGCGTACATAGTGCGCCAGCAAACCATGCTGAGGAAGCTGAAGGAGCTCCAAGTGGAGGTGCCGCCTCTTCTGGCGGGGTGGCATATGCTCAGCCGAGCAGGAGTGCCTCGGTGGACCCACCCGCAGATCAAGGCCCTTTGCGGAGGAGAACTGAATGTGAAAGGAGTGGCAAAAGCCATGGCAAGGATGTTCGGCGGTGACAGCAAGCCGAACTTGAAAGACTCAGCCTTGCGAGGGGCTGATATCAACATGGCCGAGACCTACAAGCACTACTATGAGTACGACGATGTGGATGAGGCCTACTACCAGTCCTATGACGAGGACGAGATCTACATGGATGACTATGAGGAGGTGGACTACACCTGAGGAGGCCTACATCTCCTACCTGGACAGCCGAAAGAAGATGAGGGAGTTAGCCTTGGCTAGAGGCTTCTTCCCATTGTTGCCCTCGACATGGGTGGCAACCATGAGAAAGGCAAGAAAGGTGGTGGAGGAAAAGGAAAAGGAGAAGGAAAAGGGTGGCAAGAACAACAACGCCACCAAGGGCAAAGGCAAAAGCTTCGTGCCACCCGGTGCAAAGAGATTTGCATTTGTGAGGAGAAACTCAGGAAGGGTTTCAGCGACTTCTTCCACTACGGCACGATCAACGACGAGCGGGAGTACCAGTTCACATGGACCCAGGTTCAAACGATACCGACTCCCGGCTTCGGGGATCAAAGAAGTTCCAGACGAAGCCAACATGGTGACCGAGCTGGACGTGACCGACCTGGAGGTGCGATCAAACGTCATTGAGGAGATCCACTATACAATGGAACGGAAGCTGGTTGGGCCGTCATGGACTCCGGCGCCACCAAGACGGTCTGTGGAACTTCAGTCTGGAACCACCTTGTGGAGTACATGGTGATGCGTGACATCATGGACAACGTCGTGACCAAGCACGAGCCCAAGGACTTCAGGTTCGCCGATGGTGTGGTGATCAGATCAACGATGGTGGCAACGATCCCAGTTTGCGTTGCCCAACAATGGAGGAGTCTGAACATCCACGTCTTGCCTGGCAACACACCTCTTCTACTTGCACGACCTGTTGGAGAAGTGGAACGTGGAGGTCAACTATGGGCAGCAGTCAATTCGAGTTGATGGAAAAGCAGTGAAGCCATCAAGGACTGCCAACGGGCACTACGTGACGATGCTGGACACCGAGGACGCTGATGACACCACCTATGTTGGTTCCATGATCACCGACGACGTGTTTGAGATGGACTTCGGCATCGAGGTTCACATGACGGACATGGTGGACGATGTGGTTCAGCTGGTGTGCAGCCGTTCTGAACATCAACAACGAAAGATGCGATTCTGGGAGGTCTACGTCGACGAGGGCAACTTGTCACAGTTTCTCAACAAGAAGGATGATGTGGAGGCCAGAATCTTCAGTCTGCCTGACTGGAACTTCGAGAACAGGGAGGAGCAGCTTCGGTTCTTGGACTTGATGGACCAGGAGCGACCACTCCACATCATGATGGCATTTGAATGCCGATTGTGGAGCCCTATGCAGAACATGAACTACAGGACCGATGAGAGAAAGAAGATCCTGGCTGAGATGAGAGCGGTGGAAGAGAAGACGCACCTTCGCTTCTACAGCGAGGTCCACAAGAAAGGCAAGTCAATTGGGTGCGATGTCACTGCTGAACAGCCTGCTGAGGCCCTTTCTTGGAGAACCACTACGCTGGAATCAATGCGTGGTTACTTTGAAACTGTGTTGGACCGATGCAGGACAGCCCTCAAGATGAACCCTCGAGACACCAAGCTGGTCAAGAAGCCAACGAGGTTCAGATCAACAAAGAGGTTGGTGACTGAAGCCTGCAACCTCTCCTGCATCTCCAGAGGTCCACACCAGCAGATGATGGGGCAAGGAAAGGCTCTGAAACAAATGCGAAACTATGAGCCTGGATTGGTCAAGATCCTTGGAGATGCCATCTACAACTCAAAGGAGGTGGCATGGAGAAAGCGCTGTCAGGCCGAGCTGATGATGATGGAGATGGTTGAAAAATCAGAAGGCAATTGCACTTCTTCATCGCCAACTTGGGCACCCATCAGCTCAGAAGCTCATCGTGGCCGTGAAGCAGCGCGACTTCCCCAAGGAGTATGTGCAGGTGACCAGATCCTACAAATGCCCAACATCCTGGAGCAAACAGGAGCCAAAAGCCGTCAGGGTTGCGACACTTTGCAAAGCCCCCCACTTCAACCACACGATTGCCATCGGCACCTTCTGTGTGGAGTGGGATGGCCAGAAACTTGGGGTGCTGACGGTGCTCGATGAGTACTCTCGATACGAGATGGACCACCGCATCATTGAGGAGACGGCCGATATGGAAATTGCGCTGTTGGAATCTTCCTGGATGAGGTCTTTTGGATTTCCGACCCATCTCAGGTTGGATGCCAGTGGCCCACATCAGAGCTCGACTTTTGCTGATTGGGCGAGTCTTCACGGGATGCGATTGGAATTGGTCCCACGTGGAGCTCACCACAGACTGGGCATCCTGGAGCACAACCATGCCGTGAGAAGAAAGCAGCTGGAGATCTTCCACAAGGAGATGCCAGATGTCCCCTTTGACAAGGCTTTGCGAATGTCACCAGCGAAATTGCCTGACATCAGTGTCTGGCTCTTCGCCAGCGACGATGGCATTTGCACATGTGCCATCTGAGGGTGGAAATGCTGATGACCCCGGCGACCCCGGACCTGAAAAGTTCGGAGATGAGCGCGACCAAGTGTGCAACACCCTCATCAAAGAGACAGCTGCTGTGGCATTTCACAAGGCCAATGCAGACCTTGCAATGCGATCTGCCATTTTGGCACGAGCTCGAGTTGAACAAGATGAGCTCTTTGTTGGGGATTGGTGCTACTACTGGAAGCCCCAGAGTCACAAGTTGGACCCCTTTCGATGGCGAGGACCCTGCTTGGTTGTGGCCGTGGAGGTGATGCCTGAACGCACCAGCACCATCTACTGGATTGTGCACGGATCCTCTCTTCTGAGGTTCACCCGTTCCCAGCTTCGACATGAAAGCGTACCAGAACGCTTTGAACGACAAGGCCAACCACCTCACCTTGAACAACTTCGAATGCCAATGTCCACCCGACTCTTGAAAGCACTCAAGCCTGCCCGAGGCCCTGTATGTGCTCTGGATGTGGCTGAGATGGGACAAGATCCTTTCTACTATCCTGGGGGGTATGCCCTCTCTGACGCTGCGGGTAAATCTTTGGACTCTTTCGATGATGACAAGCCCCTTGCGGACAAGGCCGCCATTGACTCCACTGCGACCAACCAGAACGACATCGACATGGAGCCCCCAGAGAAGGAGGAGACGTTTCCGATCCATGCCCCCACAACGATTGCCTCAACGAGGTCCTCTCCGAGACCAAGAACCGAAATGCCTTCTCCTGAGAAGATCGACAGCAGAGCTGCTGGCGTCTGGACCGACACTGGCCCTGAAAGGCCTGATGCACCAGCTGTCACCGCCACTTCAAACCCTCCAGCTGGCGATGAAAATGACCATGCAGGTAAAGAGGGCCCTCAACAAGCTGAACATCCCACGGGCATCGTCGAGAGACGAGAACAACAACCAGAGGTTTTGCCTGAATCCTTCAATCGAGAACGGAGGATGTATGCAGCTGCTCCCAGAGTTGCCAGTCAGGTTTCAGAAGAAAGAAACCAAATTTTGGATAGACTACCACCTCGTCGCCAAGGAGATGGACAACCTGCCCCCAAGCAGCCACGCTTGGAAGAAGTGCATATGGTGGAGATGACCGCCGACGACGAGCCCTACGCCGTGGTCGAGTCAAAGTTGGATGCCGCGGCCAAGCAGCAGTTCAAGGAGGCAAAGAGAAAAGCTTCCCTGCCCTGGTGTGAGAATGATGCCTGGAGACCAGTTGACAGGACATCTGCGCCTGATGGCACAATCGTGCCGATGAGGTTTCTTCTCCGGTACAAGGAGAACCCGCCCCACGCCCGGGTGATTCTGCAGGGCTTCAAACATCGAGATGTCCCGGAAAGCAAGTTGGACACCGAGTCGCCCACGCTGTCAAGACTCGGCAAGTACCTGCTGACAACGTTGGCCTGCACCCTGAGGTGGAAGCTTGGAACTATGGATGTGAAGAGTGCCTTCCTCCAAGCAGACTACATCCACCACAAGGTCGACCTGTACGGCGAACCTTCGGCTGACATGAGACGTCTCCTACAGGAGATGCTTGGGCTGCAGGAGCACGAGGTGATGCAGATGACCAAGCCGGCCTTCGGCGATGTGAAGGCGCCCAAACAGTGGAACGACACCGCTGACAAAGCCATCACCAAGGCAGTCAAGTTCCTCAAGCACCCTCTGGACGGCTGCATCTACCTGAGCACCCGAGTGGCCATCCAGGATGACGACCCCTTTCGCATCTTCAACATGAACGGCATCAACTACGCGGTGGACGGCATCTTGGGACTTCATGTGGATGACATCATCGCTGCGGGTGAGTACGTCTGCAAGCCTGAGTATGTGATCGAGCCGAACGGCGCTTGCCGAGCGCATGCATGTCCTCATGAACCGCTTCAAGTTTGGTTCCATCAACTACGACAGCAAGCAAACCTTCTGTGGCGCAAACTTGACACAGAGCTTGGACTTTTCTGAGGTCACCTTCAGTCTTGAGAAGTACCTGCGCCAGGTCAAGCCTCTGACCCTCGTGGACTTCTTGGAGCTATGGCATGGCCTGCAACGCAGACACAGCCTCACCTTTGTGCCTCAATCAGCATGGCGCAAGCAACGGTGTCTGGAGCTCGTGTTGCCGACCTGAACGAGGCCAACAAGATCCTCAGGTATGCCAATGAGACGGCTGACATCCCTCTCACCTTGCGATCTCATGGATCCCTCAGCCAACTGAGGTTTGGATTTTACTCTGATGCATCATGGAGTACCAGGCCGGATGGATCTTCACAAGGGGGGCGGCTTCTTTTCATTGCCTCTGAGAAGGGGATCGGTGGCGACAAACCTTTCCCACTGACTGTGGTGGACTGGGTGAGCCGCAAATTGCCCAGGGTTTGATTTGCCGCTCTTCACTGAGCGCTGAGGCTCAGATCATGACGACTGCCGTTGACAACTTGGAATGGGCCAAGACAATGTTTGGCCTGATGCTGTGCCCTTCAGAAGGAGCCGACAGCGAGCATGTGATGAAATGGCTTGGAGGTTCACCATGCATCAAAGATGCTCGCGTGCCCTTTTCGATGCAAGCACATCGGCAACACCCGGCATGAAGCTGGCGGAAAAGCGCACAGCCATCGAGATCAAGATCACAGCCGAGAGGATGCAAGCTGCACGTGGAATGATGAGATGGTGCAATTCGCACCAGCAGCTGGCCGATGGGGTCACAAAGTCAGCGGCAAGAAATTGGCCATGGAATTGCGCCGAGGAGTTCGTTGCCTGCGCTACGACCCTGAGTATGTGGCATCAAAGAAGGTCAAGCCGGAGGACAAGGACAAGGAGCAAGAGGTGCTCGACAAGGCCGCCAAGGAGATCTACAAGAAGCACAAGATTCAGGAGACGATCTTCAAGCCCGAGCACATGGAGATGGAAGACAAGGAGGAGACCGGCATCTGCCTACTGGATGGATGTGGACTTCTGACAGAAAACGGCAAAAGGTACTGCACCAAGCGCCACTACCACGCTGCACAGCACAAGAACTCCAAGCCCAAGAAGACGGCCTTTGCGTCTTGGATGGTTCTGTCCGCGACGGGCATCCCCGGAGCCGAGGCCATGCAGTTCACGGTGAAGGGCATTGTGATCCCCTACATCCAGGCGATCGTCTTCGTGATTGGATTTGTCGTGGTGATCATCATGGTTTTCCTGCATGGCGGGCATCAATTACGAACGACGCCGAGCTCTTCGACATCCCTCTGGACATCAAGGGTTACATGAACCGCTGTTGGTCCACACCGACGGGACCCACATGGAGTTCGACCCCGAGTTCGAAATGAGCAGTGCGAGTGCGAGCAGTGATGAGATGATGGATGCAAATCGAAACCACGGAGATGGAGGTGATCATCAAGAAGGATAAGAAGAAGAAGAAGAAGAAGAACAACATGAGCCGAGCGAGGACGGCTTCGGCAGCGATGATGGTCTTGGAAGACCAGTGACGCACGAAGGAGACATCATCACCCCGGAGCACACTCCACGACTGGTGAATGGAACGAGGATGCTAGCTGACGATGGTGGCATGGCAACATGGTTGACACCCGGGCAGATTGCCTACATGCAGGGCGAGGGCTACTACGTCTTGTCCGACAAGGAGGTCAACCGACGTCGAGCTGAACTACAAGCTTCGATGCCCCCAAGCATCAACGAGGTGCTGACCCCGCAGGTGATGAACGAGATTGTGGAAGGCAACCACACCGGCACAGTCCAAGTTCCAATTGACCCGAGCAATTGGGATGGTGTGGAGCCACAAGAACGAGATGAGCGCACGCAACTGCTGGAAGATTGCCTACTGCTGGCAATTCAACCTGAGGAGATGAACAATGAGCGCCTGCTGGAATCAAAGGCCCTTCGAGCCCAACTGCGCACAGTTAGGAATGTTTAGCAAGCCCTAAGAGAGTTGCGAGCCGACCGGTTTTTGGAGTTTTTATATTCAGCTGATCGGACTTTCTTTAAAGCCCTTTTCCCCTGTGTCAATGTAAGTCTCACTCATCCTCTTTCTGGCAGGGCTCTTGAGCCTGCCATAGGCGTTGCAGCGGCGTGACCGCATCGCATGGGGGAAAAGAACGAGAACTACCAGGTGTGACTTTGTGTGCATCAACCTGCAATTGACATTGATATATATATATGATTGTCTAGTGATCTAGTGTTTGGCAGGCCTGCATGGACAGTGCTCATTTATTGGTGGTTGGTAAATAAGGTAAAACAAATGCCAATTTTGGCTCAAGTAATTTGATCCAAAATAGCAGCATTGTTTTCCTTGTGCGAGGCAAGTAGCTGGTTTAAGTGGAGTTGACCACTTGATGTCCAGCCTAATCCCCGGGGTACATGTTGCTATGCACACGCATGCAGAGATACTGCCTACCGCGGCATGGATGGACTTCTCCAACTACGTGCGGTCGCTGCTGCAGCTGGGCTGAGCTGATGAGGCGCGCTAGTCCGTTGTGGAAGTCATCCATAATGGGACCATTCCGGAGTTACCGGGGGCCCTGCGAGTGCCTTTCATGGAGTCACCATGTGTACGGCGACACACGCCGTGGGGGATTTCGTTTTCCCTTCGTGGGGATTTGGGCCAAGACGGCTGTTTTGGCCCAAACTGGGGATTTGGGCCAAGACGGCTGTTTTGGCCCAAACTGGTGAAGGACCTCAAGCGGTGTGGGACAACTACCATGGCTGCGAGGAGATTTTTGAGCTGCTAGGCATCTTGCCTCGGGAGTTAACCGGGAACAGATCGTGCCTCGGCATGTGCGCCTTGTGGTGGAGAGACTGGCGCTGAGTCGTGGCGGAATCACGATGCAAGAGTTCTTTGAACTGTGGCGGGCTTGGCAACGGTTCCCGCCTATGGAGAGAACCATGGATGGGACATCAGGCCGTCACCCGAGCCAACAGTGACAAGCTGCGAGCAGGAGCATCCTCTGCCGTGGCGTTTGAGGAGCCTTGGATGGTGCGGTTGGAAAGTGATTCCAATCGGCATCCTTATGGATCCGACACGCGATCTGAGTGATGTGGCCAGACAACAGTCTCTCCACGGTCGACGGCATCATGGAAGCGCTGGATTCCTCAACCAAGTCCAGAGCTCGGGAGATCCCGGTTCACTTCAATGCATGGCAGACCAGGACCCAGGCCTTTGTGTTCCGATCATTACCCGGAAGGTCTACCCGACTTGTGCCCTGAGGAAGCGGCTCGGGTTCAGCGAGACAACAAAGCAGCGGCCTTTGTGTTGGAGAGAACCCGCAAATTTTGGCAACTTTTGAAGTCATTGAGGCCGTCCTCCGTGATAAACCCAGACGTCAGTTTTTCATTTTTCCACCTCAATGCCTACGGTTTGTGGGCGCGTCGGATGCAGCTTTGGAGCAACCAAAGCAAGGCACCGGAGGGTTTGTATCGTCTGGATGGACGAACCCGGTGAGACCAGGGAGGCCTTTGTAACTATGGCAAATTTACCTTAGGTTGTGTCTGACCTGTGGGAAGCAGGTGACCGAAGATCGCACAACTAAAGATGGTTGTCATCTTACAGGCACTGGTATGTCGACCACATCGATTTCGCAGGCGACGCGGAGTGTGGTTCATCGACAAGGTGGCGTTCCTCATGACTCTATAATCCGGGGAAGAAGCGAATCACCAGACCTTGAAGCCATGAGTGGCATAATCCACGCTTTGCTTTTGCTTGCAAGACTTGGATCTTTTGGGAGTGGGCGCCCTCCAAAAGCAATTTGACTGATTCCATCAGTCGGCTAGGATGGAACGATCCATGGATATCCATGGCATCGATGCAATAGTTATTCAATAGTTTCACGTCGCATCTAGCTCCTTTTCCAGCCATTCTCTGGCGTCTTCCTTTCGCGGGCATTTTCCGTACGGCCGCATTTTTATAAACGCATTGGGACAGAAGTGCGTTGGGTGTGAATGGATAGCTGGAGGTCAGCATATCGTAGCCTAACTGATACAGGTTGCCTTCATCAGGAGGGCTGATGGATCTGTGGGCATACCCAATGCATCAATGATCCTGTGGGAGATACAGGTTGGGAGACAGAGTGAGAAAGGTGGTTGGAAAAAGAGCGAGCGTGCTAACGAGTCTTGAGGTTAGGGACCTAACCCAGGTGACTTATATAAGACCAACCTCTAAGAAATGTATGACTGTCCAGTGTTTGGGAGGCCTGGGTGGACAGTGGTAATTTCTTGGTGGTTGGCTAAATAAGGTAAAACAAATGCCAATTTTGGCTCAAGTAACTTGATCCAAAATTGCAGAACTGTTTTCCTTGCCCTCCCTAAATCACGGATTTTGACCCACCCTTTTATCGGGTCCCCTGCGGGGTCACCTTGTAATTTGAAGTCTGCGCTGCAGATGGGGTCTTTGCACGGGACACTGCGAATACCCGCAGATTGGAATGCATTAAAAATCCTGTAAGCGATATAGTGAGAAAGGTGTTTGGAAAAAGAACGAGCGTGCTAACGAGTCTTGACCTAACCTATGTGACTTAAATTCCAACAAGTATATATGTACATATGTATGTACATCATATGTGTAGATATGTATATTTAGATATGTGTATATATATATATATTTATGTACATGCATGGTATATATATATAATATACATATATGTGTGTATCTATATATATATATATTTCCTCAGTATATTGTGAACAGTCCGAGTCAACAGTGATTCTTACAACATTTGATGAGTTGACATGCACAGACGGTTGCACATTGGTTTACCGTCTCAAAGTTTGCAGCGCAACTGCTACGACATCAGCCAGGTTTTGCCCCCCGTTTAATAGTGAAATGATGCCACCCAAAGAAAAGGATGTCCTTTCACCATCCACAACTGTTTGTGTCTCCCAGCTTCAGGATATGCAAATTCCGACAAATCTTGACAATCATCAACTGCAATTTCCGGGGAATGTTTCCCACTTCCAACTCAAGGCGTGTGCAAGTTGACTGTATACTTGTAGCCAATTTGCAAGCATGTGCATGTCACCATGTGAATCTGCCATATAAGTGGGAGGACTGAAACTCTGGGTTTCAGTTGTTGTACAATTTTCCGGATCAGAAACATATGTTGGCATAAAGAGCAGAGAAACTGAGGCTGTGTAGTCTTGACTTGCCCTTCGCCGCAGCTTCCTTGCTGCAGTTGGTCCTCTCCTTGGACATGTCAGCCTGCATGTGCATTGCAGATGTAGTGATGACTTGTTGTCCATGCTCAAATCAAACGGCAACTAAAATTCAGAATTCATGCAATGTTTTTGATGGTGCGATGTTGAATCAAGGTTCCCTTAGAAAAACATTGGAAAAACACTTTGGCCATTCCGCTTCTACTCCAGTGTTTAGTCCTACTAGCAAATGCTCTCATTCAGGTTCCCGTATCCAGACATGTCATGCTTAAAACGATCTGGGGATGGCATCATTGAAGGTTGACCTTTGGCATTAACGGTAAATAAAGATTCTTCTAATTCGATGCATGTATATGCGAAGGAGGAAAAGGTGCCGAGGAAACGAAGGAGGGACAAAGTGTGAGAAGTGTGAGAAGTGCTATTTGTCATTTTTTTTTCACATTTGTTATTTTATTTACTTTTTTTTGTTGTTTCTTTTCTCTTTCTTCAGTGTTCTTACTCTATTGGTGTTTTAGGCCATGCAGGTGATGGATTCTGAACCTGCTTGTGCCTCAGACTACCGGTGCCGCTCCTGTTTCAAGTTTCAACCAGCTACAGACTTCATGCCCAGAGAATCGGAGGAAGCGTGAACAGCTGCTTTTGTTTCTTCCCGAAGGCATTCGTTTTACAGCTCTGGCTTAGATCGTCTTAAAGTCTTGGTTCCGACGAAATAATTCCCTCAGATGCTTAACATTTTTCCTTTTTGTTTCGCTCTAGGACATTTACGACTTAGGCCTGGGAAAAATTGGAGGGTAGAAGTGAAGAGTTGATCAATGCCTCGACCTCAAGACCATCAAGACTGTCCTTTTGGCAGAGAACTAGTTGAGAATTAGCCACGAAGGCAATAGATTCACTTGGATTCATTTGCTTCAAATAATACAACTTGAAAACTTCCTGTGTGAGGCGAACCGATGGCTCCTTCAAAAGGAGGTCACGAATCGGTCACGGCCTCGGATTTTAGCGGATTTTGGCTTGAACTGTTGCTAGAAGTGTGGAATTATCGCGCAGAGTGTTGTAGATATGTCCAAATTCAGACCATTGGCATTCATTGACGTGGTGATCAATTTGCTACAATGTTGTTTAATGCAAATCTGTTTGCCGAGTTCATGCTCTTTGTAACTTCTGTAAGGCCAACTGCAAGTTGCCTGTTGCAAGGGCCCCTTTTTGTGGCGGGTGGCCGTGCCAGCCTTGGTCCCAGTGAGGAGGACAGGGTGAGCAAATCTGAGCGGAAATGAAATACCATGGGATATTAAAAGAATAGCCTGGAATAGCTATTTAATCTATTTGATTCAGTTTGATTTAGTTACTATTCAGTTTGATTCAGTTTGATTTAGTTACTATTCAGTTTGATTCAGTTTGCTTCAGTTACTATTCAGTTTGATTCAGTTTGATTTAGTTACTATTCAGTTTGATTTATATAGTTACTATTCAGTTTGATTCAGTTTGATTTAGTTACTATTCAGTTTGATTCAGTTTGATTTAGTTACTATTCAGTTTGATTCAGTTTGATTTAGTTACTATTCAGTTTGATTCAGTTTGCTTCAGTTACTATTCAGTTTGATTCAGTTTGCTTCAGTCAGTTTGAATCAGTTTGATTTAGTTACTATTCAGTTTAATTCAGTTTGCTTCAGTTACTATTCAGTTTGATTCAGTTTGCTTCAGTTACTATTCAGTTTGATTCAGTTTGATTTAGTTACTATTCAGTTTGATTCAGTTTGCTTCAGTTACTATTCAGTTTGATTCCGTTTGATTTAGTTTGATTTAGTTACTAGTCAGTTTGATTCAGTTTGCTTCAGTTACTATTCAGTTTGATTCAGTTTGATTTAATTACTATTCAGTTTGATTCAGTTTGATTTAGTTACTATTCAGTTTGATTCAGTTTGATTTAGTTACTATATATTCAGCTTCAGTTACTATTCAGTTTGATTCAGTTTGCTTCAGTTACTATTCAGTTTGATTGATTTTGATTTACTTACTATTCAGTTTGATTCAGTTTGATTTAGTTACTATTCAGTTTGATTCAGTTTGATTTAGTTTCTATTCAGTTTGATTCAGTTTGCTTCAGTTACTATTCAGTTTGATTCAGTTTGATTTAGTTACTATTCAGTTTGATTCAGTTTGCTTCAGTTACTATTCAGTTTGATTCAGTTTGCTTCAGTTACTATGCAGTTCGATTCAGTTTTATTTAGTTACTATTCAGTTTGATTCATTTTGATTTAGTTCCTATTCAGTTTGATTCAGTTTGATTTAGCTACTATTCAGTTTGATTCAGTTTGATTTAGTTACTATTCAGTTTGATTCAGTTTGATTTAGTTACTATTCAGTTTGATTCAGTTTGCTTCAGTTACTATTCAGTTTGATTCAGTTTGATTTAGTTACTATTCAGTTTGATTCAGTTTGCTTCAGTTACTATTCAGTTTGATTTAGCTTGCTTCAGTTAATATTCAGTTTGATTTAGTTACTATTGAGTTTGATTCAGTTTGATTTAGTTTCTATTCAGTTTGATTCAGTTTGCTTCAGTTACTATTCAGTTTGATTCAGTTTGATTTAGTTACTATTCAGTTTGATTCAGTTTGCTTCAGTTACTATTCAGTTTGATTCAGTTTGCTTCAGTTACTATGCAGTTCGATTCAGTTTTATTTAGTTACTATTCAGTTCGATTCAGTTTTATTTAGTTACTATTCAGTTTGATTCATTTTGATTTAGTTACTATTCAGTTTGATTCAGTTTGATTTAGTTACTATTCAGTTTGGTTCAGTTTGCTTCAGTTACTATTCAGTTTGATTCAGTTTGCTTCAGTTACTATTCAGTTTGATTGATTTTGATTTACTTACTATTCAGTTTGATTCAGTTTGATTTAGTTACTATTCAGTTTGATTCAGTTTGATTTAGTTACTATTCAGTTTGATTCAGTTTGATTTAAATACTATTCAGTTTGATTCAGTTTGATTTAGTTACTATTCAGTTTGATTTAGTTTACTCAACATGTATTTCCCCCCCGCAGATTTGAGCTGCTCAAGACGTGTTGTTAGTTTCAATGCAATGTGGACCTTTAGGTATCACCTCGTGTAGTGCGTTGAAAAGGTTGCTGCTGTGGCCGCACCTGCCTAGTGTAGTTTCGAGATGGTAGCGGAGCTGGACCTGGTTCGACCAGTGACCAGCGATGATGCTCCAGCTGGCCATCCTGTTGCAGAGTTTCGCCTCTGGAGCAGCCACGCCGGCGAGTCCCGCCTCGCCTGGCATCAATGCCGTGCACATCGTTATTCCGCCCAATCTGAGCGGTGGAAATGCAGCTTCCAGTTTTACCAGCGGGAAGTCACATTCCTGCGCCGTCGCGACGATGAATATGTTTTGTCCAAATGTCAATATTAGCGAGACTGCTGCCTCTCGTGCCCTCGCAAGTTGGTACGTCCTTGCGGGGTTCAATGTTAGTGAGAGTTTTGCCTCTTGCGCCTCCTTGGAAGAATGTGCTTCCATGGGGATGAATTCTCAAACTCGGAGTTCTGTCTCCGAACTCGGGGACGCCGACATCCTCAAGGGCCAGTCAGGGGCTTGGTGCTCAGACTTGCCGCTGACTGACCGCTTTGCAATCCCAACCTCCAGTGACAACCATCCTCATGGCAGGTCGGAACCCATGAGTGATGCCAGAAACCCTGCAACGCCACGACAACTTTCATCGATGTTAATTCTTCCGGAGTGGCCCCCCACAAGTCCAAGAGTATCGACTCTTCGGCGCCTTGGCTGATTCCGCATCAGCCAGGCGGGTGGTTCCCCCAACCAAGAAGTATGAGAGTAACTTCCGAGAGAGTAACGCCTCTCAAGTTCCCTGGAGATCGACCCATCAGTCTGAGAGTATCGACTCTTCGGCGCCTTGGCTAGTTCCCGCATCAGCCAGGCAGGTGGTTCTCTCGACCAAGAAAGATGAGAGTGACGACTCCCAAGAGAGTAATGACTCTCAAGTTCCTAGGAGCAGTGTGCGACAAGAGTGTGGATCTGCTGCCCACCTTCACTTGAGGTCGGGTGGTCCGGTCCGCCCTCCAATGTTGATGTTCTTGGGATCAATATTGATCGCCACAGCTGTTGTGTGGAAATAAAAGGAAATCTGGTGTCAGCACCACCCTCACAACGTTCGCAGCCTGGACGCGGAAGTGCTGGACAGGGCCAACCTCCAACAATGTTGTGCCACATCATCTGGTGTCACGAAGCATCCGCAGAGTGGATGCCCAGCCCTTGTCTTTGGCCGGGAATGGCGAAGAATTGGCCTTGTGTAACATGTTCCACATGTGTGGCTTGCCAACGTGCTTCGTGCCGTTGTGCAGGGGAATGAGACTGTGTAGAGCCCAGGCCTCACACGTTTTCGTGCACCACCCCAGCGAGAGCGTTGGTCCAGTGCCGACCAGATGTGAGAAAGTGTCCAGTCAACTAGCAAGACAAGAAGGAGGAGGAGCGACTCCTTCCGTCGAAGCACCATCTTTGACAGTCCTGGAGGCAAGTCACCAGCAGTCCCAACAGATGACCCAATCCCTGTCCGAAGATTAAGCTGAGTTCGCCCAGCTAGGACACGCCGTTCATGCAGGAACAACAGCGCCAGCGCTTTCAACTTTCTGACTGGCTTGCCAGTCAGTGTCGAAACGGCAAGGCTAAGCCATATGCGGCCTGCCTACCTGACCAATGCGGTTCAGTCAAGGGGCAGACATGCTATCATGGTGTGACCATAGCTCAGAGGAGGTAGAGACCGCTGTTAGCCGCACAGCTGGTCCCGACTCTGAAGGTTCGCAGTCGCAGCTGCCAACAGTGGCCTCCATTGCGACCACCGAGGTCACACGGTCATCAGCCATGCCAGGGGCACCATCTGCAGCCACTGATCCGTTCAGTGCTAGATGCCAATGCATTCAGATGCAATGTGAATCCGCGGTAAAGCCCAGTGAAACACGAAATGAAGCTGCGCCAGTTCGATCACTTGTATCCTTGGACAGTGGTCTGACTCTGTCTCAAAAGACATGCACCATATGCATGAACAGTTTTGGCAGTAGGGACTCATGCTGTAGGTTGGTGTGCGGACATGTGTTTCATTGTCGGTGCACAGGCAAACTTTTGCAGCACACTTCTCAAACCATGGAAAGAGACATCCGCATATGCTGTCCCAACTGCCGCAAGGACACAGTCATTGACCGAAGCTGGACCCAATCTGCGATTGCGTCGCAGAAATCACGAACATCACAAGAAGTTGCAACCGAACAGCCTGATGCCGTGCAAGAGCAAGATGCCACGGGTGATGCTAAGGATTCGGGAGAGCATGGAACACCAACGGAGAATCTTGCTTCTCCACGATGTCCTCCGTTGGATCCGCAGCCTGCCGCCTCACCCTATTCCTCGTCTGTCCGCAACAAGGACAGCAAGCTGAACCTGCTCATTGACTTTGGTGCACAAGACAGCCTTGTCGGAGCAGTATGGCTGCACAAGTTGCTGAAGAAGCTGAAGGGTAAAAGTGTCTTGCATGTCATCGACCCACGGCCCCGATCGTTGAAGGTTGGGCGTGTGGGGAAAGGATCACTACATTGGCTAGAAGATGTCTGTGTGCCATTGGGCATGCCGCCGCTGCCTTCTCAGCAATTCTCCAAGCTGACAGGCACAGTTAAGGATGAGCAGCATCCTTGCACTTCGGCTGAAGAGCATGAGCTCACGAGCCATGTGGTCACCGAGGGTTCGGCCTCGGGCAGTTCAAGGGTATAGAGCCTTCATCCAAGCCTGCCGAAGAGGATGATATAGGGAGCGGTGCCCAGCCCGGAGAAGTAACAGCAGCATCAGCCATGGATGATGTTGTAGCTGAGGAGCTGCCGGCCACTGTAGATCCTGCCGAATGGCAAGCACAAGCATCAGCAGCTCCACCCACACCAGCGGAAATCCCAGTGGTTGTCACGCCGACCACTGCTGAGCGTGCTGAAGAAGGGTCACCGGGAGAGGTGTTAGCCAATGTGGAGTGCGCTCAGCCACCGACAACGGAAGAAGTACTGGTCCCAGTGGGTGTGGTGTCAGTCGCTGTGGAGTCTGCTGGAATGTCAGCAGATGTTCCATCAGCAGTACCGCCAGAACAGCCCTCGGTAGTTGTGACGCCAACTACTGAAGGCCTTGCACACAGCACCACCGCGCTGGAGCCGCCAGCAGAGAACACCACGGTAGCTGTAACGCCAGCTGCTGAGATTCC